AGGGATGGTGGCCTGGAAGCCCCTTCCTCTGGGCCAGGAGCAGCAGGACAGAAGGTGGCCCAAAAGCCCTTTCCTCTGGGCTGGGAGCAGCAGGAGGGATGGTGACCTGGAAGTCCCTTCCTCTAGACCAGGAGCAGTGGGACAATGGCTCAGAAGCCCCTACCTCTGGGCCGGGAACAGCGGGACTCAGTTTCTTGGTCTGGTGGTCTGGTGTCCTCTGCGTCTTTGCAGTGTGGAATCAGGTGGCTGCCTGTCTGCAGTGGGCTGATTCGGCCTGTTCTGTGGGATTCAGGACCTCGGTAGGGCATGGGCAGACCTGCCTGTCTGCAGCGGGGTGATTCTCTGTCTTCCGTGTGACTCCCCTGGTATTTTTCTTTGGAGTCCTTCATTTTCTTGGCAAAAAGTTCAGCATATTTAGCAGCCTTTTCATTATTTTTCTTGATATTTTGTTTCTTTGGAGCAATATGGTGCCACATTTGTGTTCCAGAACATGTGAAGTGTCAAGATGCTTAATCTTAGGTGCTTTGGTACTGGATTTCTTACCTTCCTTGTTTAAGAGATTTTTGACAGTATATTAGTGGTCACTATTGCCTGTAGAGAGATTGAAAAGTTTGTCAATTCTGCTACCTTTTTGGGCCCCAGGTGACAAGGCACAGTATTATCAGTCAATCCAGTAATATTTTCTCTTCTTTTTTTTTTACAATAGCCAAATTAAGAACTCTCTGATTGGCAACCTCAATGTACCCAAAAAAAATTTGTGTTTTGTTTTTAGATTCGTGCTTTGTAGCCTATAACAGGAATGACCTTTACTCAACAGGAAGCATACAAGATCATGGGTCATGACCGTCTCGTTATGGGGAAAGCTTGTTTTTCATTTCCACCACTGATTCAGACCACATAACCCTTGAAGTCTTCACCCAGACTGCAGCTTCAGTTGCCATATGTTTCTCATACAAAATACAAAGTTTGCATTCATCATCCACATCAATGAATTTCTGTTAGCCAATGTCTTGGAAGGAGCTATTTGGCTTCATCTTAAGATTGTTTGCCTATGAGGCACACTAAAAAGAGCAGTATTGGCTTCCTCTTATAAACACTTGTTTCTTCTTTGTGGTAATTATCAGTCCTGATAGACTAACTAGGTCTGCAAATTTAGAAAATTCTTGGAATTACATTGTATTTGTATATGTACTTGACCTTTGCCATTACTATATCATGTTTCAGTTCTCTCTCTTTCTCTCTCTCTGTCTCTCTCTCTCTATCACACACACACACACACACAAACACACCAGTTATGAAGATTATGTTTCTGTAAAGCTAATAAAGACTGGTATACTTTCTTAATCCCCTTCATTATCTTCTTTATTCTAGAAAGATTGCATTCTGAGGATGTTATGCAGTATATTGATCGGGTTTACATTACTACAATGAGATACCTGAGGCAAGTAACTTTAGAAAAGGAACTAAAGGAAAATATTTATTTTGTTCATAGTTTTGGAAGTCCAAGTCCAAATGGTAGGTATATCATATGCTTGATAAAGGTGTCCTCTTGACTGTATCACTTACATGGATAGCAATGGCAGGAAGTGCATACCAGAGCAAATCATTTACATTTACAAACAGAGCAGACAGAGAGAGATGGACAAAATAGCAGTCTCACAATTCCATTCAAAAGCATACCCTCAATAACCTAATGACCTCTAAATAGGCCCCACCTCTTACTCCAAAGCACCTCCTAATATTGTCACCCTGAGGACCTTTAGGGGACATTCAAATTACATCCAAACAATAGTATACTGTTAATGACTAACCACAAATTGGGTTTCTTATTACATCTCTACAAAGAAGGAACATAAATAGCCAGGTTTAAAGATACCACATTTCTTATAGTGACTGAATTTCACAAGTGATGTTTGACAGGAGAGACAATGACTATCTATCTCCTTCATCTTTGTCACACATTTCCTGGTAGGTGAGTTGCAGCTCCTCTAGTATAGATCTCCATGTTTGCACCATTATGTGTCTCATTTTATCTGCTGCACAAAACATTGCTTCTTACCCTGCTTGCCTATAAATATAACTTTCAAGTCACAGAAATAGCTACTATTCAGGAATGCATAAAAAAGAGAAACTTGGAAGGTCAAGAATGTGGTTCCTTCCATGAGCATCTTATAAGCTATTTGACAGATATTTATTGAGCATGTACTGTATGTGAGGCTTAACACAGGAAAAAGAAAGAGTAATAAGATGCATCCTGTCTTCAAGACACTAAGTACACCAGAATGAAAGCTACTGAGAACTTTTTTTTCTTAGTGACCATCTAGATGCAAACTGTGAGCTTTTTCTTGGCTGCCCACAAATGCAGTGTTACTGCATTTATAAATCACTGAAACTGTAGAATTTTTAGGAGACCTCTCCAGAGCAGATGTAAGTAGAGAAAGTTGATCTTTTCATCATGATAACTATGGCAACAAGGAACTAAAAGAAACAATGTAATTTCTGGTATGGCTAGCTCAGATGTCAGTGTCTCATAGGAATTGATTTTTATACATATTGGTAATGCCAATTTGAGCAGTAATCCTAACTTCCCTATAGCATACATGCAGTGCCAACTCAACAACAGCACCTCATTCTTGAATGTGTTTCACATATAATAGAGAATCATGGGTATATTTGCACAAAGCTACATACCATTTTCTTGAATTTCACTTGTGTCTAAACAAACTGTAGAATATATTTTATCCACAGACTTCAGGTTAAATATTATTGTGAAATTCTTCTGTTGTGATGGAGGGATATTTATTTATGTAATGGTTTTATTTTCCAGACCTAGACAGAGCATTCATAACACAAAGTCCCTCAGTGATACACACAGGTCTATACATCTGTCTGTATTCACAAGCATACACATATTAATATGTGCAAACACACAAATAAGAACATAAGTTGCTTTTACCACTGGTGCTTAGAATGGATAAGTGATTTTAATTTTGTAGTTGGCGGAAGCTCTAGAAACCCCTTGCTTTTCTTTTTCATCCTTCTGCAGAAATTGTATCATTGAAACATTTCCAATGTGCACAAAATATGCAGAAGTGTGACTAATATAGAGATCGCACGAGGCAAGTCCTATTCTTCCCAGTGTAATGAATCTGACCTCTAGCCCTCTGCTCTATTCACAACTTAGGATCCCCCACATTCTACGGTGACAGAGACTGGCTGAGGTTCAAATCATTGCCATGGAAACCATAGCAAGATTGGTGGAGGTGGGGAAATGGAGAAGGGCCAGAGAGCACTCCTGAGAAGACCAAAATGTCCACTCCTCTGCAGTGAGATTGTGTTCGCATACCAAATCTCAGACTACTTATTAATGAATTCTAGATAAAGTAGCTCTTAAATTCATTCACCTGTGTATTTTTAAAGTTTTATTTATAATTTACATAAATGCATTTTAAAATAAGTACAATTTAGCTATTATTCTTTGAGACTCTATTTTGTTTTACTTTGTTTTTTTGAGACAGTCTCGCTATGTAGTTCAGACTGGTCTTGAATATGCAGCCCAGGCTAGTCTCAAACTCATGGCAATCCTCCTGCCTCAACTTCCCAAGTGCTGGGATTATAGGTGTACACCACTGAACCTGGGTAGACTGAGTCTTATCTACAATCACAAGATAAATTTGCTTAGGCCTATAGCTTAGTCACATGTTAGTGTGTACTGTAAGAGACTGAAAGAGTATTACATCTCAGTTTAGCACAACTATTGGAAAGACTCCTTGGTTTTTGAGATTCAAATCTCTTTCTTCCCTGTTTATAGTACTGAACTGTAAGTTAGTAAAATGTGTTTCAGAGATCAGTTATCAAGTTTTCACTGTAAGTTTGCCTTCTGCTCATGTGATTCTATTGGAATCTTCTTCTCCTAAGGATATAGACCCTTTTTGACATTTGTGCCTAAACAGCTGTGGATAAAAGCCATGTGGAGATGGATAAACTGCACAATTAAAAACTACAGATGTCAACTTCAGGCCTACAAAGACCAGACACTGAAAATATCTCATATGTTAAGAGGTGGGTACTTTGGTGTTTGTTGGTGGCATCTGTTTATGCATGTACACACACACATGCATGATCATGTGTGTGTATGAGTGTGTGTGTTGGAAAGGGTAGAGTAAGAAAATGATCCACATAATATGAAAAGTTGAGGCTTTTCTCTTATAAGAAAGTTAATATTTTGAAATTTTGGAAAGTTTTATCTATCAAAGTAGTGAAAATTTAAAAACAGAGATAATAAAATTATCTTCTGAGGCTGAAAACGTGCAAGGAAACCAATATAGAAAGTGTAAGAGGTAAAGAATTATTATTTATGAGTTTTACTGACCAAGTACCAAGAGCTTTATGTGTGTTATCCCATTTAATCCTTGTAGCAATCTTATGATGTAGAAATTATCTCATTTTTCACACAAACAACAACTTTCAATAGATTTTTTATTTGTAAAAGATCATATAGCTATTAACTTCAGTGTACATTTTAAATACAGATTTCTCTGGCTTCCTATACTATCCTTCGAAAGAAGTAAATAGCCAAATGAAAATTATAACTATCACATTACATTATTATCTTATGAAAATTGAGCTTCTTCATTAGCAAAAAACTGTTTTTCATATAGTATATTTAGAAAATGCTTCAGCAACATCAGTACACTCAATCTAAAACAGAAATAGAGAATTAAACATCCACTCTAAACAATAAAGAAAGCATCTGTCCAGCTGAAGTTGTAGCTCAGTAGTAGAGTGCTTGCTTAGTGTGCTCAAAGTCCTGGGTTTGATCCAAAGCATAAATTAATCAATTAATTGATTAATTAATCTGTGATTCTGACATTTTTGTTCATTTTTCCTTCCTCTGCATTTTCCATATACTACATAAATATAAATCAAATTTTCTCGATAAGCATATTCTTTGTAAGTGTAGAAATGAAGTCATCCAATTCCAGACCTGTTTGATTTTTTTTATTTATTCAGATTATTTAATGTACAATGACACAACTGTGACCCCAAAGTGTGCAAAGTTAAAGCCTTCAACTGCAGCTGAGAGGAGAGGGCAGGACTAGTACACCTGGGGACGGCGGCGAGTCAGGGCAGCTGCTTCCTCAGGTCTGGGGGTGGGGCTGTGGCCTGAGGAACAGAGCCCAGGTTAGCCTCAGGCCAGGAGAAGGGGGCAGAGACCTCCCCCGTAGCCTAGGTCTGGAGGCCAGAGTGCCACATGGCTGAGAGAGCAGCAGCCCAGGAAGGGGCCAGAGGCAAGGCCAGGAGAGCACCATTTCCTAGGGGAGGGTGGCAGGGAAGGAGGTGCCCTACAGGAGAAGCCAGGAGGGACCACCTGCCCTAGGAGTGGGAGCCAGGCAGAGCAGGCTGCAGCAAGAGAGAGACCTGAGGCAGGCACAGGGCCTATGAGCCCGGGCAGGCTGGGCTCAGGGGGCTGAAGAAGGGAGAACCTGGGGGGTTCCCTGGGCAGCTTGGTCCAGGGCAGTCCTAACTTGTGAGCCCCAAGAAGGGGCTACAGTCCCCTCAGAGCCTCCCCTCCTCTCTCCTTGCGAAGGAGCTGGGGAACCTGTAGTGCAAATCCATGGGCCACTCAGTTATGGAGGGAGGCTGTGCCCAAAGTGGGGTCCTGGGGTGTGCCCCCTCCACCACCACGGCCTCCACTGCCATCCTCAGTACAGCCACTTCTCGAAAGAGTACAGGCTGTGCACATCACCCTCGATCTGGGCCGACATAGTCCTCTTCTCGAACTTGAGCTCTCCTGAGTACATCATGGACCACAGGACGGACAGGCTCTGGGCCCCGATGTCCTGGCAGTGGTGCTGGATCCCGGCTATGAGGTAGGGCACGAACTTCTGAATGGAGCCTTTGTCCTGGGTGGAGCCTGAGATGCCCTGTGCGATCTTCACCTTGTCCCCCTCACTGAAGTATTGTTTCTGGCTGCTGCTGCATTTCTCCATGGCATCTAGTGAGCCCATGCCGCGGTACTTCTTGAGCCTCACCCCATCCGAGAAGAAGTATTCGCCAGGGGCCTCTGTGGTGGCCACCAGCAGGGAGCCCATCATCACTGTGGAGGCTCCGAGGGCCAGGGCTTTGACCACGTGCCCCACGGTCTGGATAGCACCATCAACTATGACCGGCACACCAAAGCGCCGGGTGTACTCGGCCACCTTGTACACAGAAGTGCCCTGGGGCGGACCACAGGCCATAACTTCTTGAGTGATGCAGATGGAGCCACAGCCCATGCCCACACACAGCCCGTCCACACCAACATCAATGAGGTTCTTGGCCTGCGCTGCTGTCACTACATTTCCCCCAATCACCTGGAGGTGGGGGTACTTCTGCTTGTTATAGTGCACCATGGCAATCTGATACACTGAGTTCCCCTGGGAGGAGTCCAGCACAATGACATCGGCACCCGCCTGGGTGAGCAGGTCCAGGTGGTATTTGTCATCCTCATGGGTGCCCACGGCTGCCCCACACAGCAGCTGCTTATGGGAGTCCTTGGAGGTCAGAGGGTAGTCTCGATTCTTCTTTAGGTCCGTGCGGACGATGATGGCCACCAGCTCGTCGCGATCATTGACAATCGGCAGCTTCCCTTTCTTGCTGCGCTGCAACATCTGGTTTGCCTCTTTCAACGTCACTCCTGCAGGAGCCACCACCAGCTCCATCTGGGGCGTCATCACCTCACTGAGTAGTGTGGTGTGGTCCTTCTCAACAAGGAAGTCAATGTCTTGGGAGGTGAGAGTGCCCACCAGCTCACTGCCCATGGTGCCTGTCTCCATGATGGGGATGCCAGAGAAGCCGTGCCGAATCTTAGCCTCCAGCACATCTCCCACAGTGTGTGAGGGGCTCAGCATGACAGGGTCTGTGATGAAGCCCTGCTCAAACTTCTTGACCTTCCGTACTTCATTGGCCTGGAACTCTGGGGTACAGTTGTGATGAATGAAACCAATTCCTCCCATCAGAGCCATTGAAATGGCCATGTCGGCCTCTGTCACAGTGTCCATGGGAGAGGAGATCAGCAGCGTCTTCAGCGTGATCTTCCGGGTCAAGGCTGACGTCAGGTCCACCTCATCAGCTATAAAGTCTATGAATCCTGGGAAGATCAGGAAGTTGTTGTAGGTAAGGCCGTCGGCTTTGGCGAAGAGCTGCTGTGCCGTGAGCCCGTCCTCGGGGACGTAGCCAGTGCCGCCGCTGATCAGGTAGTCCACCATGCTGCCGGGGGACACCTCGACCTGACAAAAACACCCGCGCAGGCCACCCCGCCGCTTCTGCTGCTTCTGCTTCTGCTGACGCCTGCCGCGGCCATGCTGCCGCCCTGGGCTGGGCAGGCGGGCCAGGGGCCTGATTTATTTGACTAAAAGCATCAATGAAGTTTATTCTGACTTATCCTAGACCTGTTAATAAAGCTCTGCGAGTCCAGAAAGATTGGGCTTGGCCAGTCACTCTGAAACACCAATCAAAGAGTTGAGCAGTAACAAAGGGCAAGAAAGAAGTTTAATCAGCATGGTCATCCCAGGAGGACAGATTAAAAGGTTCAATATCTATCTTCAAAAGGCTGATGGAAATAATATATTTTTATAGAAAAGGCAAGGGTTAGAGTTTTGCTAGTTGGCAGGGTAGGTAATCCTGGTTATCAGGCATGGCATAAACAAACAGGACAAAGCAACAGCAAACAACAGCAGCTTCTCAGCAAGTAGGACAAATGGACTCAAAATAAAGTATACAGTCCCCCTGGTGCCAAGAAGTCCAGTGATTGTCTATACACATATGCAGACTGTCCTTGGATTTGTTCATAAACATTTCACCCCAGATTCCTTAGCCCCTTCGATACTTACATAAGCCTAATTCCTTTCCCAGTTAGTTGCTAATATCTCTCTGCTAGTGTTAGCCCATCCACTCACAGATGAAATCTCTCCCAGCTAGCTGCTGCTATTTCTCTCTTCCAGTGTCAGCCATCCACACACGGATGTAATAAAGTTGGCTTTTCCCAGCTAGCTGCTAGAATCTCCCTGATTTTAGCCCCTGTTCACTGGAATAAACTTTTCTTTTTCACAACAGAAAGCCTATCTTTAATGAGTGGATTCATGTGCACTGACTATAAAACTGGTCAAGACGTGGTCTCATATATCATTATGTCAAGACTCTTTCCTCTGAGGTTGCTTTAAATAAGTTTTATGGACTAAGGGTGATATAAGGATGATACAGGAGATGAAATAGGATCTCCAAATGATATAAAGGAAATATAATTCCCAACCTGTTAGATGTCTGTTATTCTAGGTTCATGTTCTCTAAAATCAAAGAATGAATTCTAGGAAAAATGGAGGTTAAGAGCAGGAAATATTTATTGAGAAGATAGCTCCTGAGAGGCAGAAGGGATCCCAAATGGGTAGCTGAGGATCCCACTTTACAGCGAACTTTTATAGAGCAAAAACCACGTGGGTACAATGTAGGTTAAAGCTATGATCAACCAATAAGGTTACAAGCAAAGTTGCTTAGGTAGTAGTGATTCAGTGGGGAAACAAGTCATGTAACAAGTGTGCATGGAAAGAACATAGATTTTTCTAAAAATGATGGGTCCAGAGGTCTTGGTCACCCACCTGGGTGTCTGATATCTACCTAGACTTTGTTAGGGCAGGTGTTACTGCTTATCTTGTCCTTTGGGGAAGTATGCATGCCTGGTCATTTCATCTTTATCTTGAGGCCTGGTCTCCAACAGATGTGTCTCCAGCCATTGTTGCAATGCATTTTACCTTTGTCCTGACTCTCTCAAGGGCCTAGACCTATCTGACTGCCTGTAATATTTCTACCTAACTTAGCTATCTATAATAAGATGACAATCCAGTTCTCATGAGTTGATTGCTCCCACTTAGGGGGAGTACCTCATCATGTGGTGATTTGTGAGGCCCTGCTTTTCTTGGAATCTTAGGTGACTGCAGGCTTAGAACAATGACTGGAGACTTCTGAGCATTGCTCCCGGGATCTGCTGTAAAAGCAGCAATCAGTTGTCCCTACAAATTCTGAAAACTAATTTAGTTACTTTTTCCCTTTTTTTCCCTCACCTGCTCCCACATTAAATACTCTCTTCTTGAAGTCTTTCTTCAGTCTTGAAGAGGGAAGAGATGGGCCAGGTAAATATATGGCCAACAAACCCTTGTACTACTACTAGTTTCTAGCCAGACATTCCTTAAGTGATTAGCATGCCTATGTGCAGAGCTGAGCAGGGATCTGACCCAAAGTTTTAAGGTAATCAAGTAGACAGAATAAAATAATGATGGCAAAGAAACCAAGCTTTATCCTGCTTTCAGTTACCCGTTAGGCATCAGCAAGCCTAGCCTCTAAGTTCCTGTTATATATTCATGTTTATACTTCTAGATGTTTTATCAGGCTAAGGAATTAGTTGAACCTTTTTTTGTTTTTATAACTTAGAACTGTTTAAGTAGTTTCAAAGAAAGTTTGAGTTTTAAATCTGTTTTTGTTAAGTTGAAACTTTAAGGGTTCTTTTTTACAGATATGATAGAGAATTTATTTAGCTTTGTGAAGTTTCACTTTCACAATGTACATATCCTTGGCACAGAAAGACCCTATTAAAATTTCATAGCTTGCCTTCATAAGCCAAAAATGGAGGCTGACATTATGAGTTTTCCAGATATTAAGTTTGAGAAAGTTAATGAGTCATCAGGATTTGCACACATGATCACACACAAAATAATAAAACAAACCAAAGAACAAGACTAACATTCCCCAAACATAAACTGCAATTTTTAGTGGAACATTTATTCCTATCTATATTCATTTTGATCTTATTTTCCATTTTATACTGACTTTTTTCTGAATAAAGTTTACAAATACATCGTTTTGAATTGTTTTCCAGGTCTTAAACCCAATCATTGGTTATATACTTATCATTTACAGTTGGATATGCTTATTAAGCCAGTTTACTCCAGTAAACTTGTGAATGAAAAAACGTTACAGAATTAAGTATAATGTAGTTATTTTACTGATCCTCATCTAACTTCCCTAATGTAGTGATTCTATCTAGTAAGTTTTCTTCTATTTCTAAATGGAATCAGAAAGAAAAGTGAGATAATAGGAAATTTATAGTTTACTAGAGATTGTGTGCGTTTCCTAGTTTGTCACTGGTATTACTTGAAAATCAAGAGTAAATGAATAGGCTAACATTTTCAAATGTATACTTTAATAAGTATAAAGTGTATAAACAATTAAGTAAGCATGTGGAGAAGCTGACCAATATTCATAAATTAGAAGATATAAGTATCCATGTAAATTTTCTATATTTCTTTTTTTCTTTTTGCAGAATATTTATTAAGGTTGTTTAATATACAACTTTTCATATGTCATTTTGGAAGTCCTTTATCATGAAGATAATTCTTTTGTCTGATGACAAACATTGGCCACAAAATCATTATTCTGGACCTCCACATTGGATAAACTCCATTTTCTCTTGAGATATAAGTTTCCTTCTGTACTTCTGAGGTAGCATTTTTATTATTTCTGCAGTGTCTGATGGACCTGGATGCATCAGCAACTCCAGTGATTTACTTAGAATGCTGTGAAATTACAAAAGAATGAGATGGAATCCTTGCTGATCTCAAAGCTTCTGATACCCTGGGTTTAGGATTGTCTCATCTGTCAGGGAACCTTAATAATGGTGTATGAGGCTTGACTACCTAAAGGAAAAAATGCATTTTTTCAAGAGTAGGAAAATTTATTGAGAGAAAGATAGCTTTTGTCTAAGAGAGACAGAAGAGGGACTGGAAAATGGGTTGCCCTGCAACCTTAAGATTTAGAACTCCTTTATGGTATTTGTTAACTTTTAGTCACATTCTCAATATTTTCATAATCCTTTAAGTATACCAAAATTATAGGCAATTGTTATATATTGGCAGATACTCTTGACATGAAGTCAGAGAATCTCTAAATTGAAATCACAGCTTTGTCTCTTATTTACTGACTAAATCTAGGCAATTAATTTACTCTCTCTAAGCCTCAATTGTCTCCATAATATTAAATAATCTTTGCTTCATATAGTGGTTGTAAGAATAACCTGATATAATAAATGAGAAAATACTTTGTAGACAATAAATTTGCATAGTAATGTGAGGAGACTAGAAATAGAATGAACACTAAAAGAATACAATGGTACCTCGGTTCGTGGACTCAACTTATTCCACGATTCTGGGAAAGATGGCCATGTGCCTGTTCATCACCACATGCAGAGTTCATATGGAAATAAAATTTTGCCAAACACTTCTCTTTGTGAACCTGTTAGTGAACAGAAGCCTTCATGAACTGAAGTATTACTATACTTATTATGTGCTAGTCATTGTGTAAGGACAGGGGGTCCCCTAGGTAGGGAAAAGATAGATAGAAAAGAAAGAAAGGTCAATAAGGAAACTTACTAAAAGCAGTTTCTGCTCTACCACTAAAAGCATATTTTGCCTTTACAGGTAGACTCTACAATTAGGGCAATTAAAAAGACAAAGGCAAAGAGATGCTAGACTTGAGAGAGGCACCAGGCAACAAAATAACAAGGATTTATCAAGAAGAGTTAACACTGCAGAACCCAGAAAGGAAAGACCAGGAAAGCTAGCTCCCTTCCCCCACCTGACAAAATGCAAGAGAGGTAAGAGACAGCCACGTAAGGACTCTTATTTAATATATAAGACATGCACGCACATGCACACACACACACACCTACAGATATACACATGTATACATATTCTCAGTTTAACATCAGTATACTATGCACATGTTCACATGTTCCCTTTACTTACTCATTAAGTCTAAAGCTCCCTTCCTATAAGTCCTCCCCCTTTCACTTATTCATTTCAAAGGAACTGGAAGAAACCAAATAGCCAGAAGGAATGCCTAGGTTAGGATCAAAGACAGCCTAGAGAACAGAGCAGATATCCAGATATCCACAAGCACCCACCTAGGGGATGGGAAAACACTAGACCACTTAAATAAAAGGAGCATGGGATAAAGCTTGGGGTTTTTTTTAAACTCTGATGCCCCCTAAAACCTCACAGTAACTATTTATTCTCTCTTTTCCATCTTTTTCAACCTAAATAAACCATGTTTTGTTGTATTAAATGTTGCCTTTTTTGATTTTTTTATTGGCACCAGGTTTAGGATCTCTGGGAGCTGCGTTTTCAGCAGAGCAGTGGCATGGCATGGCATGGCATGGTGAGCTGTCCACCCCTTGAACATAACAATTGTGGTAATTGTTAACTTATTTTCTCTTTGTTGCTCCAAGCAAGACCAAGCTATAAACATTCCTAAGAAAGAGAAATACCTTACAACCGCAGGTAGTATTTCCTGACTCTCCTACCTATTGTCTCAGGAGCCATGCAATAGTTGACAACATACTAGCAGAAAAGTAAACATGTATGGAAGGATCATCTTCTAGGTCATTCTCTTTGAATCACATGCTTTCTCTTCAAGAAGCCTATTTAACAATTCATATCAATATATTAGTTCAGAGCATGAAGAGACACTTAGGGATGTGTCACCAGGAAGCCAGGTCCTAACACGACATGGAAACAGTTACCTTCCTTAGTTATTTGTGTTTTTGGCAAAAGAATTCAGACATGTAGGAAGTTGTACAGAATATAGGCAGAGTTTATTGCAAATTGATAGAGAGAATAGACCTTCGAATATGAAGGTGGTCAAGCACCAAGATGGCAGTTGCCCAAAATTATAGCTAAGGCTACATTTATAAGATTAAATGAATCTTTAAGGAATATCATTTCCTTCCTCTTGGGTCATTTTTTTATAAAAAAAAAAAGCTGTTTTGACCAACTTCAGAGGGAAGAATGGTACTGTTTACTCCCTAGGTGAAATGTTTTTGTTTAGTTTGTTTTGGAACCTTGAAATTTTTCCAACCCCCTCATCCATGGCCCTTTGTAAGGGCCTTGGACCTGGTCATCCTGCTCAGAGGAAGTTACATTCTCTTGGGCTACAGCTTAAAATCCATAAGCTTGTTCGGATTTTATCTGGAGCTAGTAATTAAGAAAACAAAGGGGGGGGGGGATCATGGTTTTTTGGCTTTTCATGGGGCCTCACGTTGCCTGTTGCCAGGTCCACTAATGCCTAACCTTCTGCTAAGAGATGGACAGTAGCTTCAAAACAAAGCCCAAAAGGGCTACTGAGTTAAGGCATTACAGTTGAATAGGAAAGGAACTAAATTGGAAGAAAGCAAACCAGAATTCTAATCCTAATTTTACTACAGACTAATTGAACAATTTAAAGAAAGTCTCTTCCCTCTTCACCTCAAGGTTTTTCTCTGTAAAGTGATGCAAATAGAACTAGATTATCTTGCAGGTCTATTCCAACACTGATATTCCGTGATCTATTTTTAATTATAATAAAAAATTTTAAAACTTAGAACAGAGAAATTTATAGTTTTATTGTATATCCTCAAAGCCACAAAAAGAAAAAGTACCAAAGAAATGTCTCTACATTGTCTTGTATAACTTAAAATATATTATGTAATCACTAAATATTTATACTTCAATAAATCTTAATCTGTAAAGCATATTTCTTACACTTGTTATCAGAAAATCTATTAACGAGCTTAATTTTGTCTCACTTCTACATCAGATGCTCTTTCATTTATTACTACGAATTTTAAAAGGCTCATATACAGGATAATTTCAATTCCTTTGCATTTACCTAAGCATGTTCTATGAGCTAATATGTGATCTATTTTGGAGAATGTCCCATGTATAGCTGAGAAGAATGTGTATTCTGATGTTGTGGGGTGGAACATTCTGTAGACATCTGCTACATCCATTTGTTCAAAACTTTGGTTCAGTTCTGATATTTCTGTGTTGATTTTTTCTCTAGTTGATCTATTTGATGTGGTAGCATATTGAGGTTCCCCATTACAATTATATTAGTGCTTATTTGATTTTACACTGTCATTTGATTATTCACTGTCATTAATATTTGTTTTGTATAGTTGGATATGCTGGTATGTGGTGCATATATTTATGATTGTTATCTCTTTCTCCTGGATTGTTCCCTTTACAAGGATGAAATGACTTTCTTTGTCTCTCTAGTCTTGGCTTGAATACCACTTTGTCTGCAAATAGAATAGCTACCCCTGCCTTTTTCTGGGTTCCTGTTACATGGAGTATTTTTTTTCATCCTTGACTTTCAGTCTATGAATTTCTTTTTGAATTATGTATGTTTCTTCTATGCAGCATGTTGTTGGATCTTGCTACTTAATCCATTCTGCCAGTCTGTTAGTTTGATTGGTGAATTGAGACTATTTACATTGATGGTTATAACTGATATTTATTAATGTATCCTTGTCATGTTATTTTCTTGTTGTCTGTTCCCTTATTTTCCCCCTGTTTAATTACTTTCCTTGCTTGGTAGATTCATTGTGTTGAGATTCATAGAGTTGTAGTACTCATTTTCTTTCTTGAATGTCCTTCAGAACATTTTGGGGTGCTGGTTTGGTGGTCATGAATTGCTTTGGGTGTTCTTTGTCATGGAAGTATCTTAGTTCTCCATCAATTTTGAAAGATATCTCTGTGGGGTATATCAATCTGGGTGGGGGGTTTTCTTTTAGAGCTTGAAATCCTTCACTCCAAGCTTTTCTTGACCTGGGGGGTTGCATTGAGATATCTGCTGAGATTCTGATGGGCTTTCCTTTATAGGTAATTTGGTTTATTGTTTCTTTTCTCTAACAGCTTTTAATATTCTTTTCTTGTGTTGAATTTCTGGAATCTTGACTGTGATATGCCTTGGCGTAGATTTTGTTTGATCATGGCTAATTGGAGTTCTATATACGTCACTTATCTGTATGTCCAATTCTTTTTCCATGCTTGGGAAGTTTTCTGTCATTACTTCTGTGAAGAGGGTTTTTTAATGTCATTTGCACTATCACCTGCTTTTTTTCATTGACTCTGGTCAATCTTACATTAATCTATTTGGCATCATCTAGCAGCTGTTGGATTGATTTTTTTTGTGGCCTCTTGCAATTTTTAAGACAACTTTCTTTTCATGATCACTAACTGCAATCCTGTCTTCTATATCTGATATTATTTCTTTACATTGACTCATTTATCTGTGCAAGCTTTCAATGGAATTTTTAATTTCCTAGATATCTATTTGAATCTGTTTCATGGATTCCATTTCTTTCCTATGTTGTTTATGGTTTCCATCATTTTCCTAACCTCTGTTATTTTCTTTTAAATTGTATGTGCTCTAGAGTCATTAACCATGTCTTTCATTATGGTCAACATCTCTGTAGTTATTTTAGAAATTATTTCTGATTTGATTTTTTTCTGGAGGCTCATTTATCTTATCACATCCACTGTTATCAGTTCAGAGAATCCAGGTGGGTGGTTTTGAATTGTTCCAACTCATTGCCCCCTGGTTTGCCTTTGGTGATCTGGAAGTCTAGGCTTCATGTTGCTTCTGTGTCTTCTCATTTAGTATTTTTTTAAAGTTTAATTCATGAGTTGATGTTTGTAAATTGCTTATGACAGGTAATTTTATTGCTAGTATTTAGAACCCTTAGGAAATAACTACTTCTCAAAGATGTCTTCCTATGGGTAGCTGGCTTTTGGATTTTGAGTCCATTCCAAGATCCTACCTCTTCATTTTATTGAAGATGAGAAGTTGCTGCCTATTTGGCCTAGTCCCCTCTTCTTTGGCACTGGCCTATAGTACTGTTTATGACAACTTAGGCAATCTCAGTCTTGACATATCAGGAAGAACAACTGATTGGAACAACTATCACCTTTGCTAAAGTAGTATAATCAGCAGTAACAGTAGCATCAAACATAGCCCAGAAAATGATAAACTGTACTAACTACTAATTTGCCAACTTTAACTATATGAAATCCACTTGCGGCTATATAGCAAACTCTAAAACAAATCAGAAAATTGTATACAACAAATAAGCCCTCAATATGGTGATTTTACCCTCAGAGGAGAAAATTTAAAAGGGGTTGTGGGAAAATAGAGAAATAGAAGAGTAAGAGATTAGAAGCAAGACTGGAGGACAAAGGAAGATTATGGAAACTTTGGGAAACTGACAAAGAAAGGAGGATAGAAAGAGAGAAGGAAGAAATAAAAACAAGAACAGAGCAGATCAACAACAAAAACACTAGAAACGTGTTCACACCCATATAAAAACAAGGACAAACAATCAAGAAAAAAACAAAACAAGAACAAAGAAGAAAAGAAAAAAGAGGGGAAAAACTGTTCACTTCAGGACATGTCTCTGCTATCACTGGTAGACAATGTGAGCAGACAAAGCCTGGATGTATATTGAATAATCCCAGCAAAACAGCCATAGATTTATGGCAGCATAGTGGATAATTCCAGGAATTCTGTACCTTTAGTTCCACTGAAGTTCAGGTTGATTTCTGGATGTGAGACTGGAATCCATTTTGTTCAGCCTGAAACACTCTCTGTGCCCACTGCTGGCTTGAACTCACCTCCTTGATTTCCTGCTGACTTGAACTCACTTCCACCTCACCCTGACACTGAGAGCCACAAGAAGGAGCCAGCCTGCAGCTGCTCTGAGTTTGAGGCTCAATTGGCCCCTCTCCAACGTGGCTACCAGCCAATCACCCTCTCCTGGGTGATGTCTGAATTCACCAGCCACTGGAGTCCACTGAATCCACTGCTCCATTCCACTGGTGTGTTTCTCCATGGAGACCTCTGGAATCACAGTAGTCACCATGTGTCTGCAGGTTCGAACTGCCCCTCCCACACATTGAGTCAGGCCTCGGGAGAAAGCACCACTTTCCAACTCCTACATTGTAGTCTCTCACTTCCCTCTCTCCATGGGCTTCAATTCTCACTTCAGATCCTTGCTGAGTCTCAGAAACCCAATTGCCTGCTTCTGCTCTTTTCCATGTTGCTATAATACAGTGTCTGGACACCAAATTTCAGAGAGGCTATTTCTCTGCTATTCACCACCCCGCCATCTTCCCAGAAAGTCAACACTTAAAAATCAATAACATTCCTGTACACAAATAACAAACTCACTAAGAGAGAAATTAGGGAAACAACACTTTCACAATAGCACCCAACAAAGTGAAATACCTAGGAATCAATCTAATGAAGGAAGTAAAATACCTATACATTGAAAACTAGAGTACTTTGAAAAAGGAGACCAAAAAGGACATCAGAAAATAGAGATGTCCCTTGTTCTTGGG